ACAAAGTACACATAGTGGTCATTCTGATATATACAAGTACATGTAATATGCGGTGATTAACGCCATCACCTGAACTGGGCCAGTCCGATCTGAGCATGTGTTTGTTTGACCAATAAGCATCCACTTTATGACTGTGGCTGAAAATCTGGAGGCTTAAATGAATCTGGACTACACTGTGGCGCTCATATGACCTTATGCTGTTGCGAGTGCCGTAAAACCTCTACTAAAAAAAAAACAGAGGACACTGGTCGTGCGTGATAAGGAGTGAGGTAAACTACCACCAGATAAAAGTTTGATGCTTTGGAAAAAACTCCGTTTAAATTTTTAAAAATCAGTCGGAACTATACATGTTTATAAATAATAAGTAGCCTATGGCACGCACACAGCGAGCATGCACTTCGGGAAACACACACATAACGAAAAGATTCTCGCGTCCTGCCGATTTTTTTAACGTACGAGCTAAACTGTGTATTATGATTTGTGATTTCAATAGAAACACTATAAAAAGTATATCGGAAAAGTGGCTGCAGGAGAAAAAATCCAAGGGCCTGGGCAAGGAATCTGGACCTCACTAAAGTGTGATCTTTAAGATTTGACGACCCACAAAGAGCTGACCGGTTCATTCTACCAATCGGATTGAATCGAACAGAGTCGGGGCTAACCAGGTTTTCCTTTACGGAGGGCAGGGTAAAAAACTACATGCACCATTTTGGCACAGTACGGCCAGTTCTGCCTCATCATCATCCGGTGCCTTGCCGACTCGCGTGGGCGAGCATTGACCTCCACTTCACTCTGTCTTGCGTTGCAGCAATGGTGTCTGTTGCTCTTGCTGCCCCAAGCCATGTTGTCATCTTGTCCAGTATCTTTTCCCTCTGTCTGCTTATGCTTCTCTTTCCATCAAACTTGCCTGTTGTTACAATATTCTCCAATGCTCCAAAGATACAAAGTAAGGCGAAGAGGGAGTAGCTCCTCAACATAGGAATTGTGTGACTGTCTCTTCCTGACATATACAAATCAGAGCAAATTTAAGACTCTATAAACCAAGGGTTTCGCACTCAAATTATATGAGGGCCGCTGGAGGTAAGATCTGTGTGAGCTGTGGATGCAAGTATTCCAGAAACGAAAAAGCAAGTTTTAACTGTGACGCTTGGTGGTGAAATCAGACGGTCGTCCAAATAGTGAAATCAAAGAAATCGGCATTTTTCGGCGTCTTTTGAAATTTTAATCGAATTTTTGTTTTGTGGCTCAACACTTTTTACATCCATTAAAAAAACACATTAATGTGTGGGGTTCCGTTAGGAAAAACGTACTGTAGCTTTATCACTAAACTTTGATAGCAAGCAGGGCCCTCAAAATGTTGTCCTGTCGGCCTTAGTAAAGTTGGTTTCGAGTTTGAAGCTCCAGCTTTAAACGTTTCAGGTGAAGATGTGAGTACGACGGTCAAACAGGGCACAAATTAGTTCCTGTCAAAGTTGGGTCCAATACTGCAGGGTCATGGGGAACATGGAGTGACACCGGGAGGAAGATGCCCCTGCATATGGTCGCTTTTAAGCACACGGGGGCTATCACAAAAAATGCTGTTTTGAGAAAATTGAAGGAAAAGTTTGGACCTTTGTTCAGTTTCTTTAAAAGACAAGGAGAGTTTTCTCTATAACCAAACAAATATACGCACCAATGAAATCAAACTTGTCCTATAGGTAGGGCAATACCCAATTTTGGTGTAGGTCAAGATTTCTGGAAACCCCTCAAAATCTGGGTTAGCCCTCTTGTCCTTAAAAGTGGTCATATAAAACAGTAACTCTGCTAGTTCTAGCTCTTACTTTACGATACTATATCCCACGAGGGCCAAGACCTGAATGAGAAAAAAATAGCAATTTGACCCACTGTTTTAAAAAGAAATTGTCAAAACTTCATTTTCTGAATGGATTTTGTTCTAGCTTTAAAAAGAAATAAGTATTCTATAGGCTGAACGTTTTCAAATACCACATGAATTAGTAAGCGCATCTATATAGCACATTCCACACTCTACAGCATGCTTTATTCATTTTTCCAGTACCTGTATCTATTACACTCCAGCAGACCCTTGAACAATCATAAATAGTCTTCTCTTAGCTTCCCGAGAAGCACACAGTGCAAGCAGCGGATTGCATGCGCTAAAACACTAATAAATTGACAAGATCTTTCGCAGTCTAAAACTTGGTACCCCTTTTCCACATGGGGGAAGAGAGGAAAATTCGCGTAAAGTGCCGTTCCAAACGACACAATGTCGGGCCAGTGACGGAATTCAAACCCACGGCCTTCCAGTTGCGTGTCCGAAAGCCTAACCACTAGGCCACGGACGCCATAACGATGATCGTTGAAAATGGCATTGGAAGGGGAAAAAGAAATACCCGAAATCAAAATGTGAAAAACGACATAAATGCTGTTTCCCGATTACTTGGATCGACCCCCAAAAAAAGGCCTTGAACAGGTTGCTCTCACCGGAGAAATAAAAGACAAAAGAATAGAAACTTAATGGACCTGAACAGAAGGGCAAAGGAAAGATTAAAAATAACCTACAATTTGTGTGTTGGTTGTTTTTGTGTTGTTGTTATTGTTGTCGTTGTTGCTTGTGCTGTTGTTGCTGGTTATTGTTGTTGTTGTTGTTGTTGTTGTTGTTGTTGCTGCTGTTGTTGTTTTTTTAATTTTTCCATTATCATGATTTCTTAGAACATTCGAGCACAGAACTGGGTAACAAATCAAGACCGCCAATGTCTGTTTCACATCAAGCACTTACAGGTATTTCTATTGCAGCTTCTGTTGTTCTGTTACTGCAGCATCTCTTGTCTGCCCCCCCCCCCCCACCCCTAGCCCTGTCTTCTCCCGCACCTCGCCCCCAACCTCTCTCTCTGTCTCTGTCTCTCTCACTGGCTCTTTCTCACTCGCTTTCGCTCTCTCTTCCTCTCTCTATCTCCTTCTCTTTTTCTCTCTCTGTCTTTCTTTCTTCTGTGTCTTTATATTTTATCTCTATGTGTCTTTATCTCTCTTCTCTCTTTCTCTCTATGCGTCTGTCTGTCTGTCTGTCTGTCTGTCTGTCTGTCTGTCTGTCTGTCTGTCTGTCTCTCTCTCTCTTTCTCTCTCTCTCTCTCCCTGTCTGATATATATATATAATTTGTGAATGTTCTTCATATTCCGTAGGTAGAATCGACAGCTTTTTGCCAACTCCAGCGATATCGCTCACAAGAGGACGATTTTGTACTTTTGGTGGACGATGGGGCTCACCCAGGTAATAATAGTCATTATTATTTTGATGCCCAGATCAAAATACATGTACGTGGTCGGTACAATGGCCCCTTAAAGGTGGCAAAAGTGGCCTCAGGCTGTAAAAAAATGGACAAGAAAGTGGTTCAGGAAAAGCAACCAGTAAGGAAGATAATCACAACGAAAATTTTCCATCGACCTTTTTTGTTGTTACGCCCCCTTACCAGTATAACGAGTGGTGATCAGGCAGATTATAATCTATAATCAGTTTATTCTGAGGCCCTTTGTCTATGGCGAAGAACCACGTAAGACTAAGCTCAAACACCTGGAGGATCAATATTGACTGGCATACCTTCAATCTTATACTGCTGACCTATATGACATAATTCTGATGACCTAATTTTGTGTCAACTTCTTACTTAAGCAAACATGATAAAACATGGGCAAACTGAATATGAATAGGTTATGTTGCTCAGAATTTGACATTTTTTAAATCTGGGGAGTTTCTACAAGAACATTCAATGCTAAACACAGTGGGTTTAAAAATTTTTTTTCAGATATCTCAGTTTTGCAAGTTTCGTGAAATATATTATTTCGAGAAAACAGTACCCCATGAAGACACCAAATAGCAGATAAGGTAAGGATGTGTAAGTAGTTTAATATTTTTGCAGATGTAGATATTCATAATGTAGTGCTATTTATAATTTACAGTGTCGGGGAAATCTTAGTGAATACTTTTTTTTCGGTAAGTGTTTTACGGTGCTCAAAATATTTTCAGCTGGTTGGAAATTTTTTATTTTGCCGGGTGGCGGCCGAAGCCCACTCTGATTCTCTGATCGATTTTGGACCACCGAAGGATCTTTAGTGCAGAACTTGCACACGGGACCTCCTAGATTATTCGCCCTTATCCGGGAAGGCCAGGTGTTAGATCTTACCTACCATAAGATGAGGGGTGTGGCTGACAGACAGCAGTAAGAAGGAGCCAAGGAGTAGCAGTAGAAAGACTGCAGAAAGAGTCAGGAGCCCAGAAGAGGAAGTGAAGGAGGTGAGGAGGTGGGGGCAGAAAGTGAATACAAAAGCAGACGACAGAACATCGTTAGAGAGCATGCGAAAGGAGAAAATTCTAGAAAAGAAAGTTTTCTGTTGCTATCCAGATTCGAACCCTAGACCTATTGAATAAGAGGCAAACACTATAACCTGAAGACCATGAGAGCCCATATGAATACTTTGGCAAACTAATACATGTAGCACGATGGGGTTCAAGTGCAAGGCAGTATTTATTTCACCTTTATATAGGTGTATTTACACCCCCATCAACACAAATTCGATCATTTAGGCGGACGTCTTCAGAGTCAATTCAGCCTGAGCGGGATACATTATCGCAGCAGAAAGCCCGAGACACTCAATGAAAATTCTTCCCACTCAGGAATCAAATTTGGGTGTCCTGTATGTGACAGCAAAGCACATAACCACTACATCACAGACGTCAGGGGTGGGGAAGAGGAGTCAGATCTTGAGCATCGATTTTAGTACCTTTCAATTTTGTAATACCCTATCATTACACACACACACATACACACACACACACACACACACATACACACACACAATCTTTCTTGTGACAAATGTAAACATTTCCAAAATAGCTTCACAAATTTTTGGTAAACATTGAGGATATAGCCAGACAACGTCAATTTCACAAGAACAAGTGCTAGACAACATAGGCTGTGCTGTAAAAACTTGAGGGAGACAAATAAAAATAACATTAGTACAGGTTCCTTTATTTCAAAGCAAAAAAATTAAATAAGAACCTTTATTACCACGCAAAATAATGAACACACATAGTTGAAGTTGAAAGCAATGACAATTTTGCTTTATATAAAATCACTTTCAAACCATGCAGCCCAATAATTCACATGAAGACATTTTCCAAAAGCACATGTTTGCTTTTAGCTTAGGTTAAGGAATTGATATGGCTGCAATTAGATTTTCGGAATTGATCTGAAAAAAAAGTTATTGAAACTTGATTCCTGTTGCAATTCTTCCACTTTTGATACATACAAAGTGTAGCCATCTCCACCACCTTGTTTCCACAAAGAACCTGAGATAGACTCTCAATGTTCTACCCTTCCTCACCCCGCTGTCCAGTTTAGATTATTTAGGAAACGGGCTGCTTCAACCTGTAAGCCAGCGCCAACAATTTGTCTGATACATCCTTGCAGGAACTCAAATAAAAAGTTGTCACTTTCGCGAAAAGAGAAAAAGAAAAAAAATCATGATCATGACACCACAAGATACATGCCAAATGACATATTATTTATAGTCTCACAAAGACAAAAATTTTCATGGCACAACAACTGATGCAATTCAGCTAAAAATTACAAAGTACCGGTATGTCATGTTCTCTGTCACACCTACTGCGTCACACACATGCACACACACATTCACACACACACACACCTGTGCGCACACACATACACACACATTCACACAGTAAAGCCCATTTTTTCCTCCCTATTCTCATTATCTTACAAAAAATCTGAACAGCTGCCATTCGTAACTAAACATGTCCTCTACTATAACCATGAACGGAGAAAGGGAACCGGGGCGAAAAACGACAATAAGTTAGTTCATATTTTTCTTTCGGTAGCAAAAAAAGCCCAGAGATCTTACAGATTTCTGCTCCTGCACAACAACACAACACTGCGAGGGAAAGTTACCATCAGTGCAAGACACCCCCCCCCCCCCAAATAAAAAAGGCAATGCCAAAAAATGCCTTCCAAAAAAGGAAGACAATTTTTGTTAAGTAGGCAAGATGGAATAACAGGCTGCATTAAAAAAAAATAATGAAGAACTCAATATTTATTCCAATATGACATTCTGTGTATATAGACATAAATTTTAAAAACAAAACAAAAACAAAACCCCCCAAAAAACAAACACACAAAAAAGACTTTAAAAACTCAGGATATAATTCCTGATGTGCCTCCTCCCCATCATCTCCCTTCCTCCCCTGCCCTATAAAAATATTTGGTTTCCATGTACACACAAAATACGACAAAGTAGCAGAAGAGCAGAAGACCACCCATCAAAGAAATGCAGAGATAGAAAGTAACGGACTGTCCCAGAGTCAGATGAAGCAAATCATCAGGCACAAGAAACACAAAGGACACCTAGAAAAAACTGAAAACCCTGGCAGATTTAGCAGACATCCAAGTGTTGTGTCATGAATGCAATGTTACTTTTTAGTGATTATCTTTTTTGGTCACGTTTCGTTTTGTTCTAATGAAGGTGTTTATTACGCCCGCTTCAGCACAATTTAGATTATTTGGAAGGTGACTAACCCTGGTGGAGAGGGATACAACGTCCCAGCAGCAGGACTGAGATGCTCAATAAAAAAATTTCCCCAATGGAAATTGAACTGAGGTCTTCTGCATGTGAAGGCTAAGCACTTAACCGGAAAACCACATGCGAGTACTCGACAGTAAGGTCGTATCAAATTTGATTGTGATAATGTCACAGCATAGAATAAAGCCTGGAATTGTTCAAGCTCCTCTGATGGGGCACATAATGTTGCCACATGTCAGAAGTTATTACAGTGCTAAAGGCTTATTAGCCAAAATTAATGAGTGATTTTACCTCTGAACTTGATTCACAAGTCACTTTGAGCTGTGTATCAAACTTCCAACAGTCTAAACAATTAAATATTATGCTTCTATACCACAGTGCAAGATCAGTATCAACAAATTTTTGTCTCCATCACTTGACCACAACATTTCAATCTCAAATTCAAGTTGTGAAAAAAAAAAAAAGCATGTTTGCTACATGCACACTGTACAAGGCTGGGACAGATACAGAATGTGCCCTCAACACAGGTCATGAAATTAAGTCGTATAAACAATTGCACATACATAAACAATATGGAAAAATAAATGTTTCTAAGGGTACAAGAAGGTACAAGGCAAAACTAAAGTGGAATATTATAGCAATTTAACATGAGGAACATTGGTCTCTGGCTAATAGCATATATAACTTAGGTTTCAAGAAAAGCATGCTTTTATGTGAACGTGCTATTAAATGAATTTTGAAGGGATGTAATCTGGAGCAATGATTCTGTCGAATTTATTTGATTGTTGTAAACCAACTCACATCTGATTTTCTGTGGAGGGTGTGAAGTTTTCTTCACTAAGCAATCACAGACAATGACAGTCATAATTACATCATAGCCCCCTTACACTGTCCGTCCTCCACACATGGCCAGTCACTGACTTTTGTTATTGCTCAATTGTCTCACATAACATCCCTTCGTCTTTTTCTCCCCAGCAAAGTTGTAATTTCAAGTAATAAAGGATATGTGGTGTTTGCTTCACATCCATCAATTCCAAGTGAAATAAGTCATTTATTTTGGCTCATCCATTTCTGACACTAGCATAGGAACAATCAATCACACTATTAGATGAAGTTGTCAATTTGGAACATACAATTACTAGTGATAATTCTATACGAGAAAAATTAGGTTCCGTGCTGCCAACATGGCAAATCACGCTTTTACCCGGCATAATATTAGCAAGAGACCACTACACTGTAAAAGAATAAAAATAAAATACAAGGTCAAGACTACAGAGAGAGAGAGAGAGAGAGAGAGAGAGAGAGAGAGAGATGGCATCAAAGTCTAAGGAATACATTGCCGATTTTTTTGGAGTTCTTTGTTGTTTTAAAAAAAATAATATAGATGTTTTACACCCCCATTGACACAATTTAGTTTATTTATGAGGCAGGCTTCCACCCTGTCGGCCGCTTTTAACAAAACTAGAAATACATAAAGATGAGATATATGGGACATGGACGTGTAAAAGCCTGAAAAATAACAAGACCCATACAGAAGCCCGATTTAACAGCATTTCAACTTCACATTAATGACTGTTTTGTGAGGGAAAAAATGTCATAGAGCTCCAAACTCAACAGGGCAATAAAGGAATCATTCTTATTCAGTGCATGGAAAGTAACCTGAGCCTTTTTCTTTCCTTGTAATTATTTTATTTTTTTTTTTCCGATTTTCGTCACCAGTGAAGCTCCATACCGGGTCCTCACCCTTTTCTTCATGTCCTCCTGTTGAGTGATCTACTACTTTCTGTCCATCATGTCTGCTAATCATTCCATCTCAGACTTGTAAGACTGTAGGTCTTCTGCTGTTTTCAGCAAATGTCCTTTCCCTGTCTATGTGTAACCTCTGACCTCACTGGTTGTTGACTGTTGAGCTCACTTGTCTCAGGATTCCAAGTACCAAGTCACGAAGGGTCTGAGGACACAGAGCATATGATATATGACCTCATTGAGTTGCAAGTGTAGTAAAACTCTTACACTCTGACAAAAAAAAGCATATCATCAAATGTGTGTGCGAGAGCTTTTGATTTGTCAATGATTTTATGGATTTTAAATGCCTTTGGTCCATAGCTCTGCACATATATGACATGACAGGTGGGCATGCACTGCAGCATATCTAAAAAAAAGAAACAAAGAAAGAAAAAGAAGACCAGCAAGTCAGACAATACTATTGGTAAATAAATCATACAAATCACATTAGTTCTGCCATGTGAGAGAGAGAGAGAGAGAGAGAGAGAGAGAGAGAGAGAGAGAGAGAGAGAAATAGAGGGAGACAGTGAGAGGATGAGAGATGAGGGGAGGAGGGAGGAAAAAAACAAGAGTAGAAGGGGGGAAGGGAGGGAGAAAGAACGAAAGAGGAGGCAAATGAAAAAAAAGAAGCAAGGACAGAAGGAAAGGAGACAAAAACTTCTACTTGTTTCGCCACAAGGCTAAATGTCCTAAAAATCGTCACCCTCTATTTTCCACATGGTTCGATAACATCTTAATACAAATCCCAAGCTGATACTTCACTGGATCACAACAGTGAATTAACCAGTAGACATACCTGAGGCTTACAGTACTCCTCCAGCCAGCTGAAGACGCACGCTGAGAGCTCGGCAAAGTTTGCCACAGAGATGGAGCGGTTGAAGGACTGGAACAGCGAGTCCATCGTGCTGCGGAACTGTGTGCACAGAGGAGAAACATTTTCTCATTATTTCACACTTAAAAGCATTACACTTTATCGATCCCCATGGGACAATGTTACACTTACATTTGGCGTAAAGAAGGGGATACATGGGGACTGTGGCTGATCTCAGAGATAAGACAATAAGTGAGAAAGGAGGTTTTAAAAGAAGTGAGAGTAGGAGTGAAGTAATCAAAGAAACATATGTGAGGCGTGCTGACATAATGAGTTACTTCTCGCATTCCACAGATGGAGACATTGGCCAAAAATCGACACTAGGGTCAAATTTGTAAATTTTCTATTGATGCCATATTCTCGAAGTATAAAAGGCCGTTTACTTTTTCATACTTATAACTAGTAACATTTTCACCTTTAAGAGCGGTATACCTATTTCCATAGGGCTCAAATCCAAGAAGCTACTCATTTTGTAAGCACGTTTCTCATACGATACATTATGTATGTATACCGTTCATAATTGCCAATAACATAAGCTCGAGTATCATACAGGGTGGGGATATATTTTGAATCTGATATCGGCCGACATTTGTTGGTAGAGTTAATAAAATGGAGTTGATTTTTTCAAATTTAAACATCAACTATGTGTCACAAGGTGGTGGAATCAGGTGCTCATCAATTTTAGGACACATGGAGTTATTGGTATCATCTGAAAGCTTATTCATTTGTCTTGCTTTAGATTTTAAAAAATACTTGTCTATCTTAAATAGAATTAATATATAATTATGTTCGCAATTGAAGGAGGTGGGGTCACTTGGTTGCAGAGGTTAAATTAGCGAGAAAATGGCCGCCAAAGGTTTGTGACTTCCAATGCTTGAGAGTTCTTGAAAACTGAAAATCTACATACTTTGTTCTTTTAATCAGCATTTTTAAAGTAAACTTCACATCAAAATATGTGTTTATATGCCTATAAAGAAGGTGTTGAGACCAACAACAAAAATTATATTAAAATTGTCAAACTAGCAAAAAAATGCCTGTTTCTTCGATTTGATTATTTTGAGGAGTGCCTGACTTCACCACGCAGCCTCACATATAACGTATTATTTTTTAGGACTGTTGATTGTTGCATTGAGATTGATTTAATCTATGAACTGAAGTAGCATCTGGCCTAAGCAAGACACCATGATATGCTTTAATATCCAGATTTTTAATATAGCAGTAGGCCGATGTAGTAATTCTTGCTGTACGCTGCACATATAACACGAGGGGTATACTTTTGAACTCGAATGCATAGAGTCTCTCCGTCCGCCCACTCGCTAAACGAACTGTTGTCTCTGTCAGATGTGTAGCGAGTGGCGAACTACTCTTCACAAGCGGACCGTTCGTTACCCGTTCGCTCGTTTGCGGGTAGTGCCAGCGAATAGTTCGTTACTCGTGGACGCAAATTTAGCGAGCCCGACACAACTCTAATTATAAGAGGTGAGCATATTCCTTAAATATTATGTGTTGTATACTTCTTTTAGAAATATTTGATCATGTTATTCAGAAATATATGACAGGCTATATTGCAAAGCTAATTTGAACCAAAAGCCAAGGGTAATTAATATAGTCATCAAATGGAAAACATTGACCTACCACTTGGAACTTGACTTCATCGGACACCTGGTTCTGTCCATGTGAGGGAGCGCTTTGGTGGGTCTTTACAATGTGCTCATAGTTCCTGATAGACGAAAACAAAACAAAAAAAGCACACTATTTATGCCCAAGCATTAAAGGTAAAAGAAACAAATTTAGTATCTTTTAGTTTTAGTACGAATTTTACGGCAACTGCAACACAATAAGGTCACATAAGTGCCCAAGACATGCGGTGGACAAAAAAGTAACAAACACAAAAAAGAAGGAGGGGGGGATAAGGACAATAGATGTTTGATGAGAAACAAGGGGCAAACCACACCAGAGCGCCTTAATCATAGGATTTATCTAATTGAGACAACCACCACTTTCAATAAATAATACAATCGTTACAGAGACTAGCATATGCACTGTTACTACTTCCACATTCCTTAGGTCGATAGTTTATCATCAAATCTTATCTAGAAATAGTTTGAGATCTATAATATGAAAAGAAGGAAGAATGAGCTTTGATTTTGTAAATAACTTGTTAGTAATGTAAAATTGGAAGGACCGTATATTTTCTTAAAACTGATATCTTTTGTTTGCGTAAAGAGAAGCACATCAAACAGTAATGGTCATTTAGTGCAGGGAAATGGCAAGACAGAGAGAAGAATTAGAGAAAGAAAAGATGTGGGACCTACCAGTGGCACCCTCAACCACCCGCTAAAACCAGTTTTAAAAAATCCCAGCGTATCAAGGAGGCAGACTGAATCAAAAAGTGACGTTGACTTAACAATTTGCTCCCACGAGACGTCGATCGGCGACGGTGTAATATAGGAACAAAAAAGTCGCAGCAATGATCTTGTTGTTTTTGACATGAGCACTTGTTAAAGTTAAATATCCTTTCCGAAAGGTTTGTGTGGCCTTTGATGTCAAAACTCAGTTTGTAAACAACACTTAGAGTATTTTTTTTTTATTTTATGTCGAGTAGACCTAGCATGAGTGCTGCTTTACTCGCACACCATGATGAGAATTTGAGTGATGAAGAAACTAGATCCAATGTCTTCAGTTCCGATTCTTATTCCTTTTTCGGTGAACATGTGATCATTACTTTCAATTTTCTCAGAATGCTGAAAATTCCACAATGGTTGGGGTATTTTTGCTGAGATAGAGGTATAGTACTGATGTAGCCCATCTGCATCCTGTTCCGTGGTGACAAGTGTCGGGTGTTCTGCGCGCTGCACGGGTGGAAAGTGTTAAAGAGCAGAGATGCGGAAAGCACAGTTGAATCTTCTCTAACAACTACCTGTAAAAGACAACCAACCATGCAAACAGCCACTTCCCATTTTCTCTCTTGTGTAGCTTGTACATTAGAAAAAACATTGTGTAAGACAATCACATATAAAAGACAATCATTTCTCTACTTCATAATGGGTGACCGCCTTAAGACAATTTCGACGACTGTCGTCTACTCACGCCTTCATGATCTTGAGGGCCATGACCTCTTTTCTGAGGGACTCCAGCTCCTCTTCCTGCTTCTTCTTCTGGTTGCTCAGGAACTGCATGTAGTCGATGGCTGGACGGTGATAGATGATGACATAATGGCATAATAATATGCACACATAAGTATATGAGGGTATGAATGAGGTGGGATATTGTTAAATTGAGTTTGTTTGAGTAAAGACAAGCACATCAACAAAAAAAAAGGCCAATTAGGGATGGAAAAAAGTAAGAAAGATAGGGGGAAAGGGAGGAGGGAGACATAAAAGCAAGGACATAAGAGAAAGAGGTAGACATAACAAAACGGGGAGGGAAGAGTGACAGACAGAAAAAGGATGAAAGTAACAAGACATGTCAGACAATGAAAAACGAAAAACATGAAAACAGGCCGTGAGAGAAAAGCAGAAAGGTTAGAAAGACAGAGGGGTAAAGACAGATGAACAAAGGTAGATAAATACACAGATTGTCAGAACAAAGAATAGAAAAGCTCAAGCAAAGGACACAAGCTCAGAGAAAGAGAGGGAGGGGGGTTGAAAGAGTATGTGAGAAAAAGTATTTGTTTTGTTTGAGTAAAAAGAAAAACATTGACAAAATAATGGTCATTCAGTGCTGGGGAAAGGTAAGACGGACAGACAGAAACAACACAGGGAAGGCAAAGAAGTGTCCACCAACCTCCAGCGAGAAAAAGTAAACTAGGGAACTAAAAATTTTATGGTGGAAAAAAACGAAACAACCCCCCCTCAGACACAAAACAAAAAGGTGAGCCTACATCTCTGCAGTACTGTGGCCTTGCTGATCTTCTGTGAGCCCAGGGTGTCCGGCTGCTGGCATGTGGGGACAATGTGCTGGAGCTCATCATAGCCTTTCTGAAACACACACACACATGCAAAACAAAACATTATACACAATTTAATGCAAACGTTCTAACACCATAAAAAAACATTAAAAAACCAGTATATGCAGCTTTTACAATTTTACAGGCGAACCAAAAAAAAAAGAAAAAGAATATTGTTACTAACAAAAGAAACTTTGCAAACATCCAAAGTCAATACTTTTCATTAATTAAGAGTACAATTTTGATAAATAATTTCCTTATTATCTTGAAAGCAAATGGTCTTTCTTTAATTCATGGAAACAACATTCAGTTTTTCGGCTCTCCAGTAAATTGTAAACACTGCATATACAGTATTTCTTAAAATGAGGGAAGTGTTATGGTGGCAGGTTCTGACTTAATCCTATGAGTGGAATTGGTTTCAACGAGTGATTACAACTGGCACTTTCATAAGTAGGATAAATCAAGCTGCAAGGTCTACTACCAGATGTAAATTTTGCTTCATATCATATCGATATCAGTTGACAACATAGGTCTGGACTAACAAAGATCAAATGACTTGTCAAGCAGTCAAACGTCACCATTCATGAAAACGAAATTTCAATCCCATCAATCAGAGTGATGAATGGGCAAAAAAAATGTTTATATATTTTTTGTGTTAGTAAGCTTTTTACAGCACTTGCAACACAATTAGGGTCATATATGTGCTGAAGATTAGAGGTGTTACAAGAGAGTAACAAACATGAAAAAAGGAGGAGATATCAGGACGAAAGGAACAAACCACACTAGGGCACCCACCAACCACCCGCAAATCATGGTCTACCACCATAGGTCAGGTAATACATTTTTTTCATACCATACTGATATCAGCTGACAATAATAGTTATAGGTCTGGATCAATAAAAATCAAATGACTTGTGGAGGGGTCAACTGTCATCACTTTCGTCTCACATAAAAAAAGAAATTTCAATCCAATCAATCAGAGCGAAGAATGAAAAATGAAAAAAATTTGTGTTAGTAAGCGTTTTACGGCATTTGCAACTCAATTAGGTCACATAAGTGCTGAAGATTGGAGATGATACAAGAGAGCAACATATACCAAAAAGGAGAAGGGGAGATAGGGATGATTGACATTTGACAGGAAAGAAGAAGCAAACCACATCAGAGCACCCACCAACCACCCACAAATCTGTAAATTCTGACTCATGACAAATTTTACAAGTGCAAAAAGCAAGGGTCAACATGACACCCCCTCCCTCCACTACTCCTCATTAGAGCTGGGCAAGTACCCGCCGGGTAGAGAGCTCAAAACCAGCTACCTGGGCATTGGTGTCGGGTACACAGATTTTCTACTATACTCCCCTTCGTTAAATCCTCTGAAAAAGGCACTTGAATTACGTCCCTTCGTTTGAACCTTAATAAGTACTGAGTTCTTATCGATACGGAGCTGTCTTACTCCATACAATACTTAATATTGGCCAATATTGACATGGGCCTACCACTACTCGTACCTCCTGTCCCTGGAAACCAGCAGACCAAAAAAAAAGGGTATATTATAAAAAAAGTTTCCAAGAATCAATCGGAAACTCGGGTAGGGCTGAAAATTAGAGTTGTTTCAATGTCCATATATGGAAGCAACTTGTGAGCAGTTCTAAATATCCCCCCCC